TTCATTATTGCTAACCAATGAAGAAGAAAGTCAGGAGCTAAGTCAAATGCCTGCCAAAATCTTTCTCTGTATCAAAATCTAAATACACCTTTGTTAACCATCCTCCCATATGTCTTGTTAAAAATTTATGATCCTCCCTAGAAACAAGACACTAAAGGGGGGCAATCTGGAGCCAGCTGTACTTCTCATGCTATTTTTTCCTAAGGAGCCCATTATTTTTTTTATTTTTTCACTATTCTTATAATGCTTTTAATACTAAATTTAATTTATTACTTCTCTTTTTTTTTAAAGATTTATTTATTTATTATGTATACAGTATTCTGCCTGAATGTATGCGTGCAAGCCAGAAGAGGGTACCAAATCTCATTGTAGATGGTTGTGAGCCATCATGTGGTTGCCGGGAATTGAACTCAGGACCTCTGGAAGAGCAACCAGTGCTCTTAACCTCTGAGCCATCGCTCCAGCCCCATTACTTCTCTCAAAACTACTTTTCTTCCACCCTTAAAAGCTTGTTAAAGCTTTTGGTAAGCTATCAAAAATATATTTCCTTGAATAGTTAATTGTGCTGTTTTAGGAATCATAGAGAAAGATCAAAAAACTCATTAATCCAGCCCCACAACCACAACCGAAAAATCGTAGAGACCCTAGACCGCGTCTTTTTAACTTAGGTGGTCGGGGAGACCTGCTATTGACCTCCAGGGAGCGAATTTCTGAAGAAAGCGTGTCTCCCGCCCTGTAGCACAATCTATTGATATGCTACACTGGCGACGCTGGAGTGGGTGTAGCCGATGGGGACTCAGCTCTCCGGCTAGTCTCTACAGAACCAACACATCCTTTAAGAACTTAATTCCCTACAAGTGTGAAGGTGGTGATTTGAGTATCTTCCTTGGAGAACGTGCCGCCCCAGTACTGCTGATGGGTAAATTCAGCTTCAACATGTTTTGGTGGGGACGGCACACATTCACACATTCACATCCCAGCCAGGGATGTGGTGGTTCTGTGAGGGTGGGTGGAGAGCCACAGTGTGACTTAGTGACAGTGTAAGAAAAGTGTCTGAGGTCCCAGGCCCAGGGTCAAGAAACTGATGGACAGTGTGGGCACTTCATCTCCAAGTGGTCAACTAAAGCCATCTTTGGAAGCTAATATTTAAAAAGAAGACATGTATGCTAATCACCATGACCCATGCCCTCCAGCCTCCTGACTCCATGTGGTCTGCTTATGGTCCCAACTCCTAGTTCCTTGCTTCTGTCCAGGCCTCACTCCTGCCCTCACACACGTGTTAGGCCAAGTGGTCTCAAGATCATGTTCAGCGTGCAGCTTCTCCCTGCCCCAGACTCCCATCAGGCATCAGTGGACTGTGCAGGGGTGCTTGCTCCTACTTCCTATTTAGCATTTTTACCATCACTGCTTCCCTCAGGCTCCTGAGCAGACATCTCTTGTGCTTTTCTGTTGTTTTGAATCATCACTTTTCAGAACTTATAAAATCAGACAGAAGTTTGAGGAGCCACCTCCCACATTGCATTCAGGCCTGCCTAGAGGCATGGCAGTGTGAACTCGCCCAAGAATTCCTGAGAGTTGTCACCCTGTCACATACCATCTCAGGTGCCTTGAAGGTGCTGTGGAGAAGCATCCTGGGCTGGGCTGGGGCACAGTGGAGAGCGAGCCTGCTAAGTGGAACCTTGGGTTTGATCCACCACTGGGAAAGGGGAGGGCAGAGAAGGGCAGTGTTCAGAGGCATCATCTCCTCACTTGGTTTAGTTTGGAGCTGCTGGGTACTCAGGCCTTGCTTGTGCTAGGTCAGGGTTTACCACTGATAAATCCCCAGCCCCAGAAGCAACTTCTGCTCAAACCTGTATGGAAATGTTTCTTCTGTGCATATTTGACTTGGACATTGCATAGCAAGCCGCATGCTCTTTAGTATTACCACAGAGCCTTGGGGTGCTGGGCTGAAACACCTCAGGGATGTTGATTCCAGCCAGTAGCAGTGTTAGCATACTTTTGGGGGACTTGTGCCCTTCTGAAACAGATGTGCAAGACAACATTTGTTTAAAAAGCCCAAGTTCGCCTGGTGGTGGTGGCACACGCCTTTAATCTCAACACTCTAGGGGCAGAGGCAATCAGAACTCTATGGATTCGAGACCAGCCTGATCTACAGAGCTAGTTCCAGGACAGCCAGGACAAGAATGCCTCAAGTAAAATAATGAGTGAATGCTAAAATAAATAAAGTCCAAGTATTGGACTTTCAACATTAGAATTTCAACATTAGAAATTTGCCCTATGACAAAGACACCTTCAGGAATCTTCCACAGATGGGAAGCCATAGCCTACCTCGGCAGAATTGCCTCCCAAGACCCCTCAGAGCCTCAGCTAATAGGACTCTCCTCCAGATGGGCTTTTACTAGAAATGCCTCGAGGTTGAAGGTCAGAGGACAACTTGCAGGAGTCAATTCTCTTGCACCATTCCGGTCCCAAGGATCAAACTCGGGTTGTTACGATTAACCACTAGTGTGGTCTTTCCTAATGAACCATCTTGCCAGCCCAAACTTGTGTAACACACCAATTTATCTTAAACATTTGTTGTTTTTTAAAGTACTAGAAGGTTTAAAAACAGGTTGAACATTGTGAAAAATATAGGGACATCATGCCCGAGATACGTAATAGGAAAAAAAGCACTTGGAAAGCTGTTAAAGTGTGTATTTCCTTTATGTGAAAGGCATCTAGTAGCTCGAACAGTTGGTGTCTTCGTGTGCATTTTTGAGAGCAGAGGATACAGGGTTCTGCTAGGTTGCTCACGCTGGCCTCAAACTCTTCCTCCTGATCAGCTCACTCGACAGCAAGCTGGGTAAGCTTTCAAAACACCACGTTTCATCAGCATCCATTCTTCCTAAAGTCTGCCAAGTGTCACACACGCTGGGTAAGTGTACTGCCACTGCTACCCTCCAGCCCCTTCTAACCCATCCCCATGGCATATTCTGATAAAATCTAAAGGTCTGAGTTCAAGTTCCACGGCAGCACCAGGGAATGGTGCTCTCCCTGAGCCTCATTTTCCTCATCTGTGAAATGGGCATAGGGGCTGGGGAGATGGCTCAGGAGGTAAGAGCGTTACTATACAGCATGAGGACCTGAATTTGAGTCCCAGCACCCAGATACACAGCCAGGCATGGCTGCACATGCCTCGTAACCCAGCATTGGGTAATAGAGACAGACAGATCTGGAGCGCTCGCTAGCCAACCAGCAGAGCCAAAAGGCAAGCTTCCATTTCAGTGAGAGGCCCTGTCTCTATCCCAGTAGGCTCTGTCTCCAGCGAAGTCTTAGCTGTTGTGTGGGATAAGTGCAAATATTTGGTATGGAGGTTCACCTACTCCCTCCACCCCACCCCCAGGTTACCCACACACGGGACGTTATCATGAAACTCATGATTTTGTGTGCTGACCAAAAATTTTAAAAATAAGGTAGGATCCAATCCAGTTTGTGCCAAAAGACTCTCAAGAGCGCCTGAGAAAGCAGAGGCCACCTCCAGACTCACAGCCTGTGGTAGCAGGATCTAGAACCACCTAGAAGACCAACCTCTGGTGGTGGGAAAACCCCTCTGACATCTCCATGGGCCGAGACCCTGGGCTGAATGCAGACAAGTGAGCTCCCCAGCTGCAGGGGCACTGCGTTCAGCGGTCTCACACTCCTGCCACTGGAGCTTCCCCACCACGATGGACTGTGTCCCCTCAACCAAGAGCCAGACTAAGCCCTTCCTTCCCTAAGTGGTTTTTGTCAGGTATTTTGCCACAGCTAGGAGGGAAGCAACTACTGGTGTCTGTGAGACTGTCCTCTGTTAGCCAGTCCCCGAGAGGTCCGAACAGCTGAGAAGTGAGTGCGGGTGAGACAGGAAAGGGATTTATTTCAGTGTGGCCAACCCCTAAGACAGACATCTAGGACCCAAGCTCTGCCTGTGAGACGCTACGAACCGTTTCAGGGTGAAGTAGAGGAAGAACACAGGCAGGCCAGGTGCACTCGTGGCTAAGGGCCAGGCTGGCTATTTTTACCTCAGGTTGACATTACTTGAGGGGTGCAGTTTGGGTGTCCTGTGATAAGGTGTCTGGTGTTCTGTCTGCCACGAGGTGTTGGGCGTCTTGTCGGTCGGTATTGTGTTGGGCATGCTTTCCTGGGGTGTTGGGTGTCCTGCTTTCAGTTTGTTTTCCCTAGGATTTGAGATCATCTGGGGAAGAAGAGAGAGAGAGAGAGAGAGAGAACAGGCCAGAAAGGAAACGAAGTACGTTAGACCAGTGGCTCCTCTGTCTGAAGACAGAGGAAGAGGGGTAGAGGAAGAGGGGTAAAAGACAGTTTCAAAAGTACTTCTGTTATGCTTGAGGGTTTTGTTGCTTTAATTTTGAATTGTTATTTTGTTTAATGTGTGGGTATCTTGCCTCCATGTATGGCTGTCCATCATGATGCCCAAAGAGGCCAGAAAAGGGTGTTCCATTCCCTGGAGTGGAGTTATAGGTGGTTATAGGTTGCCATGTGGGAACTGGGAATTGAACCGGGTTCTCTGGAAGAGGAGGAGGTGCTCTTAACAGCTGAGCTGCCTCTCCAGCCGCTGTTATAGTTGTTTCTGTTTTGCTTTGTTTAGTGTTCTTTCAATTGAAAAGTTACTGCACAGGCCTTCTACCGCTCGGCTGTATCCCCAGCCCTCCGTGCCCTCAAGTGCAGATGGGAGACATGCTTATACCTTCCGAGCTCGAGCCTCCCTCTCCTGCCCGCCAGCCCCTCACTCTTTTCTTTCACGTCACAAAGTCAACGTGTTCGGTACAAATTCACTGATACAGAGAGTTTTCTGTCAGTGAATAATGTTCTTCCGCTCTGATTCTAGCACACTCACAACTTAAAAGCACAGCTGTTAGAGAAATTAAGTTGTAATGACTGTTTTGTTTGTTTGTTTGTTTGTTTTTTTAACCCTGGGCATTTTTATTTTTTTCTTAATTGGGGGGTGTGGTACAGGGGGCTGGACCTAGGATCTCTTACATAATAGGCAGGCAGTTCTCCCACTGAGCTATATACTCTGTGATTTTATTAGTTTTATAAATTTTTATTTGTGTTTGTTGATCTTATAATTTTTATAATAAGCTTAAAGGAAAACCATACACTTTTTTTTTAATTAGTCACAATTAAGTAGTTAGAAATGTGCAGTACCATTTAAAGCTAGTAAACCAAAATGTCCTGTCCCAACCACCCTCGCACCCAGCATTGGGTACAAACTGCTTAGGAGGGGCTTTTCACTGGGCCCGGCTGGTCAGTCGCATGGAAGCCCCTCTCCTGGATGGCCCTGTAGAGTGTGATGTACTTGGAGGCCAGGCGTGTCCTCGGGATCACGTACTTTTCTGTGAACTCACTCTTGTCCAGCGGCTCTTTGCCCTCCATGGCAAGGACGAGGTTAATGAAGGTGAGGGCGAAGCTAGAGCAATTGTGGTGGTTCTCGTCATACCTTGAAGACACGAGTGAGATTCAGTGAAGTTAAGAGTCACCGCTGTTTTCCAGGCTGGCCTTGAACTCCCGGCCTCAAACAGTCCTCCCACTTCAGCAGTGGCAGATAGCTGAGGCCACCATGCTGGCCCCTGAGAATGCTGATGTTAAAAGCTGCTCAGTGGTGAAGGCAACTATCACCAACCCTGACAATCTCCAGGACTCATAGAAGGAAAGAACCAACTCTTTCAAGTTGTCCTCTGCTCTCCATACATGTGCTGTGTACACACACACACTCACCAGAGGCAAACAAAATAAATTAATAAAATGTAATCTTAAAAGTTTTTTTTTTAATGTAGACCAGGCATGGAGTTCATATCTTTAATCCCAGAACTAAGGAGGCAAAAGCAGACAGATCTCTGTGAGTTCAAGGCCAACAAGGGCTGCATGGTGAGAGCCTGTCTCCAGAAAAAAAACGAATGAAAAGAAAAGAATGAAAAGAAAAAAAAAAAGAGTAATTAATTTCAAATTGCTAAAACAAAAAAAAAAAAAATGAAACTTAAATGTTTTTACGCTGTAAACAGTGTTTTAAAAAGTTTAGGAATACCAGGCATAGTGGTACAGGCTGTAAGCCCAGCACCCCAGAGGCAGGGGTATAGGCAAATAGATAGATCTCTAAGAGTTCTATCACCATGTAGATAGGTCTACCTGGTGAAAACCTATGTCAAGAAATAAAATAATGCCTGGTGGTGGTGGCACACACCTTTGATTCTAGCACTCTAAGACAGCCAAGGTTAGGTAGAGAGACCTGTCTCAAATATATATTATATATAATTATGAAATATAATCTGGGTTTTCTATGTATGTTTAAAAATACATTCTTATAGCTAGGCATAGTGACATTCTCCTGTAATCCAGTATTCTGGAGGTTGAGACAGGAGGTTGGTGATCTTGTAACCAGCCTGGGCTATATACAATGAGATCTTATCTTGGGGGGCGGGGTAGTGGCTAGAGAGAGGGCTCAGCAGTTAAGAACCATGCCTGACCTTCTAAAGGACCTAGATTCAGTTCCCAGTACCCACACAGCACTGTATAACCATCTGTAGCTCCAGTTCCAGGGGATCCAACACCCTCTTCATGCATAAACACACTCAGGCCAAACACTCAGACACATTTAAAATAAATAAATTTTAAAAAATAAATCTTAAAAGCCTCTTATCACACCATTGAAAGAGCTAAGCAGTTTCACAAAGCTCCAGTGAGCAGCAAGATTCATTACTTTACCCAGCCGTGTTTGCTGCCCCTCCCCCCAAAACTTCCATGGCACAACCCCTGATCATAGTAGCCAAGTGACTGACTGACAAGCAGCAGCTTCCTGGAGGAGGGCCTTATTTGGGCTCTGAGGGATCCATCCAGCCTAGCGTCCTGTGGGGAGGCCAGTGGCCCCAGGAGTGTGAGACTGCTGCTCACACCTCCAAGGAGCAAAGGGCACAGGTGGGGCAGGAAGGCGGGCTTCAGCCCCAAGGCTGACAGCAGGGACCCGCTTCCTCCAGCCCCGCCCCAGCTGCTCCTGATCCACAACCTCCTTCCCAGAATAGCGCCACCATCTGGGGAACCAAGAATTCAGACCCATGAATCAGCCAGGGAAATAGTCTCACAAACAGATTTTTGTTTTTTGAGACAGGGTTTCTCTGTGTAGCCTTAGCTGTCCTGGACTCGCAGTGTAGACAAGGCTGGCCTTGAACTCACAGAGATGTGTCTGGCTCTTCCTCCCTGAGTGCTGGGATTACAGACAGGCATGCAGCCACAAGCTTCTGTAACTTGTCACAGATTGACAGTCTCAGGCATGGACTGTACTTGAAAGGGCAGTGGCTGCGAAGCAGTGAGGATAGTGGCTTGTGGTCTTTCTAGACACCTACCTGTGGGGCAGCCAGGCTGGCGAAGCAGAGAAGTCCTCCAAGTACTTGTCCCACTGGTCCATCAGTCCAAACATGCTGGGCTGCACTAGTGGAACACTGAGACTCCGCTCCCAGCCTGCCGAGTCTCGCTGCACACCGTGCGCGTTGTAATTATACACCACCCCTGAAAACCCAGAGCAGAGTCAGGCAGTCTGCGACAGGTGCTCAGAACATGACACAAATCCCGTGAACCTGGGTCACACTTGTCTGCTACTGTCGGAGCAGCTGTCCATCTAGTACAGTGGTCCCCCACCTTCCTAATGCTGTGCCCCTTTAATACAGCTCCCCATGGTGTGGTCACCTCCAGCCACTAAATTTTTCCATTGCTACTTCATAACTGTAATTTTGCTACTGCTGGGAATCATAATGTGAAAATCTGATATACAGGATATCCAATATGTGACCCCCAAAGGGGTTAAGACCCCCAGGTTAAGGACCACTGATCTAGTGAGATTTAGAGGTTTGGGGTTTTTCTTAAGAATGTTTATTTATTATTTATACAGTATTCTGCCCAGAGGGCATCAGATCTTATTAAAGATGGTTATGAGCCACCATGTAGTTGCTGGGAATTGAACTCAGGACCTTTGGAAGAACAGCCAGTGCCCTTAACCTCTGAGCTATCTCTCCAGCCTGAGTTTTTTTTGTTTTGTTTTGTTTTGTTTTGTTTTGTTTTGTTTTGTTTTTAAGAGGGTTTAAATTTTTTTGTTGTTGGAGTCAAACCCAGGGCCTCATGCATGCATCCTGGGCAAGTGTCCTGCTACTTCTCCCCAGGAGTAACTCAGTGAGTAGCTCAGAGACTAAATCCTGCCAGTTGACAGAGTGGGTAGTCCCCTGCTTTTGACTTATGTTCTTGAGGTGGGACAAAGGACCACAAACAGGCTGGGCAAGGGCTCTGACAGAGCCACTCCCGCCCCACCCCACCCCCGCCCACCTTTCTAAAGACTGCAGACCACATTCCATTTCATCCCTGAATCCTGGAGTGTGGGAACCCAGTGTAGTGGGGAGACCCAGCGTAGTGGGCTGAGTGTGAGAGTGGGGAAATCAGAAGCCAAGGGTCCACACCCTAATTCAAACACAAGAACTGAGGTCTTGGTCCACTCAACCTCTTAAAATCTAACACAGAAGTGTGTGGCTTTGTGAGGCTGTTTTTGAAAAAACAAAACAAACAAGAGTCAGGGGTGTGGCTCAGTGTTGGTCATACAGAGGTCCCTGCCTAGCTTCCACCCCAGCACCACTAACAAGGTTTTTAGTCTTCCCAACACATAGACTGTATGTGATACTGACTTGCCAAGTCACATGACCTACTTAGGTTGCAGTGGAAGCCAGGAAGGAAGGCAGAATGGGTGTGCTGTTGCTGTGACCTCATCCTGTCTGGAAACCTCCTTCCCCCTAAAGGTACTGTGGGGTTTTCTTAGGCTGGAAAAATGTAGGAAATGCTCACCGAGCGTGTTAGTGACGCCAACGTGCAGATCAGACCTCCCATCGTAGTCCCTGAAATAGAGGGTTCTGTTTGCATTGGCTGTTGTTTTGATAAGAGGCCCTGCCGCATAGCCCAGGCTTTTCCTGGAACTCAGGATCTTCCTGCCTCAGACCCCCGGGGCAGCTGCAACAGCAGGTGTGCCACCTTGCCCCTCAACAAGCACTGTGCCAAGCATGAATATGAAGCATGGGCATTTAAAAGAGGAGGGCATAGGCCTCCCCCATGAGCTGTACCTGACCTTGCCATCAGCAGTAGGCTGCCTAAAGGGTACAGCAAAGGCAGGACTCGCAACCGTATCCCTACTCTATGGTGGAAGAGCTTTCCATTCCTCTCTGGGAGTCCATTCACTGTTCCACCAGCTAATGTGCCTAAGAAGGTCCTGCAGTCGTCTCCGAGGTCCTCAGCCTCCTTTTTTGTTTGTTTGGGTTTGGGTTTGGTTTTGAGAAAGGATTTCTCTGTGTAGCTCTGGCTGTTTTGAAACTCACTCTGTAAGGCCAGGCGGCCCTCAAACTCAGAGAGCTTCCAGCCTTTACCTCCCAAGTGCGGTATTAAAGGTGTGCAGCGCCTCCACCACTGCCACCACCACCATCACACCTGGCTTGGTCCTCAGCCTTTTAAACCACAGCTCAGGACAGTCTGCAGCCTCTGTACTGAACTCCCTGAACTGTTGTTTCTTACCATTACTCTGTTGGCTTGAGATTTTTCTGGTTTGGGTTGGTCAGTTCTGGGAATCACAACCAGGGCCTTCCTCAAGCTCAGCACATGCTCTCTCTGTCACACACACACACACACACACACACACACACACACACACACACACACTGAAAATCGCTTCTTTATATTGGTTTTTGTTTAAGACAAAGGCTTACCATGTAGCCCAAGCTGGCCTTGAACCTATAACCCAACATAAAAAACTTTGTTATTGTACATTAACAAAATCCTAGGCATCATTATGATACTTTCTGGCCTGTATATAATGTGCTTTGATTAGATTTGCACACCCTGCTCAGTAGGGCATTCCTAGGAGGGCACAGTATCAGATCTCAGCTGCGTGACCAGCTCTTCAGTGAGCAAGCAACCCCAGCTTTCTGACGGCCAGGGACATGGATGGCTCCCTCTCCTCAGTCAACCCCAAGGTCTGTTCTGATCTATGGAGACCTCGTGGGTTCAGAGTCTAGACTCCAGAGTGACCAAGAGTATGTCTGTGTTGAGTGCTGGTTTCGTCACTCTCTGGGTGCTTCATTCTTCAGCTCCACCCTAGCCAGATCGCCCAGTGTTAACACTGGGTCTGTGGAGTCAGGCTGACTATGCAGGAAAGCATGAGGCTCTGCTCTTACGGCTTTCTTCCAGAAGGATCATTTCCCTTTTAGTTTGGCACATCTGTGTTTTCTTTACTTCGTGATACAGGAGACTGAAGTTCAACAAATCCTCATCAACTGATGAGTGTGAAGTGTATGTTAAAAAGGGCTTTTCTCCCATTGCCCCTTTACAAGTCCTCCTCTGCAGTTCTGGACCATGCCCTTGGCTCAGCGAGTGGAGTTCAGGCTGCATGTTAGTGCCTGACCGGCTCCTTTGTGCACGCTACACACTGCACAGCCATAAGCAACAGGGCTGACCGATGCAACCTCATTCAAACAGAGCCTGGGGAGTCCCTCGGTTACTGCTCATCCTCCTTTTGTCACAAGTTTTGTGGGACTCAAGGCAGACTTGGAAAATTGGCTGAAAGACAAGGAGAGAGGCCTGTTGGGAGAGGCCTATGGGCCCAGGGCTACCTTGGCTGTCTGCAGCCACCATGACATACGACCCATGTCCACACCTCTTTGCCCATTCTGCCCATGTCAGGAAGGACTGTGCCCATCAGAATTGGTATTTGCTAGAAAATGAACAGATGTTACAAGGGCAGGAAAGAGAACCTTTTCTCAGGAACCCACTCCATCAATGATGGCATAATCTTTCCTGAGGACATAAGTCAAGAGGGGCTCCTGTCATTAGGAAGCTAAGGAAACAAATGCTGGAAAGATCAGGAGTTCAAGGATAGCCTGGGCTACATAGCAAGTTCAAGGCCAGCCTTGGGTTAAGTGAACAGCAGAAAGTTAAAGGAAGGTTTTGAAGCAAAAGAGATGATGGAAGATGAGGATTAGGGGTCTACAGAAAGGAATGGGGAACACCAAAAAGATGAATATTTGAGTAATATAAAATACATATTGAAAGGTAATTGTATGAATCTAAAATTAATAACTTCTATGTGGATTTTCCTTGTTCTTTTCTTCATATTGTAAATTTTCAAAATTTGTGAGTAGAGGTGTTTTGTCTGTATATATGTGTTTGCACCATGGATGTGTAGAACCCACAGAGGCCAGAGGAGAGACGTGGTTCCCCTGGAGCTGGAGTTACAGATGGTCATGAGACACCATATGGGTGCTGGGAACCGAACCTGGGTCCTCTGGAAGAGCAGCCAGTGCTCTTTTAACAGCTGAGCTGTCTCTCTAGCCCTAACACTTGGCTTCTTTGGTTGAGTTTTCAAAGTGAACATTAAATTAATTCTGCAGTTTCAGGAATAAAACATACTGGTTTGTTGTTGTTGTTGTTGTTGTTTGAGACAGAGTTTCTCTGTGAAGCCCTGGCTGTCATGAAACTCACACAGTAGACCAGGCTGGCCTTGAACTCACGGAGATCTGCCTGCCTCTGCCTCCCGAGTGCTGGGATTAAAGGTGCATGCCACTTGGCTGTACTGACTTTTGTTTTGTTTTCAAGACAGTGGCTGTCCAGGACTCACTTTGCAGGACTCACTCGAACTCACAGGAATCCACCTGCCTCTGCCTCCCTGAGTGCTGGGATCACAGGCACGCACCAATGGCTATACTGACTTTTTATTGGAATTTTATTAATCTGCCTGTTTTAATGCCTGGAAGAGCCTCCTGTGTTCACTCATGTCTGTCATAGCACTCAAGAGGCTGAGGCAGGAAGATCACATGTTCAAGGCCACCCTGTTCAACTTAGCAAGTTCCAGGACAGTCTGTGTTACACAGCAAGAGCCTTTCTCGGGGGGGGGGGGGGGGAGAGGAATTTTATTTCGCAACATGCCTGCTCTAGCAAGTGATCACATCCAAAGACCTTCTAGGTCTACGTGATCCAGCTGGAACACACAACTGCGAAGTAGTGACACACACCTTTCATCCCAGGAGATGAAAGCAAGCAGACCTCTGACCTCTAGTCAGTTCTGTTTAGGCAGATTGAAGGTGTGTGCCACCACCACCCAGCTTCCTTGCTAATTCAGTTCACCTCCATCAGGAACCATCTCTGGGGATTGTACTCTTTGCCCTGCACACTGCACCTGCTTGTCACATAAGCTATGAGCTGTTGATTCCATATCTCTCTGATAACATTCACTGCCTGGCTATTCCCGTTGGTGCCTCGGCACACGCTCCTCTCATAAAATCACCCAAGGCAGGCAAGCCACATCCCCTGGTCCCACACCACCCACTCTGATGGACACACAAGCCTGCAGATAAGGACATAAGGACAACAGTCTACTCAAAGCAACCCCGCACACACTGCATGGCACAGCACATGTCCTCCAAAGCAGGTTCACTGGCTGGCACAGAGCAGGAAATGCATGGCATGCATAGTCCATCATAACGAGCCACTGTACCTAAGGAACGTCCCTCTCGTGGGTTTGAGGAGGAAGGAACATTTCTCTTGATGCCCGTTGGAGAATGGATCTGAGATGCTGATAGGTGCGTCCTCTATCCTGGTGGAGCCCACCTCCCCCTGGCACAGGGGACAGCATTGGGGCACACTGAAACTGTAGATGGACCTCTCGCAGTGCCTGAATTTAATTAGAGGCTTCCCGGCTCCTTCGAAGTGCATGCTGTTTGATTCCTGGGCTGCCAGAACAGTTTTCTGGAGACTTCCTTTTCCTCAGGTGGTGAACTCACACCACCTGAGTAACCTGATCAACTGTGACATCATATCCTGGATGGATGCTTCAGACACTAAGCCAGGGAGATTAACCAGTAACCCGGCAGCACCTGCTGGGCTCTTAAAGAGCTAGTTTTCATTTGAGCTGGCTCACCAAGTTTCTTTGTAGGTGTCGATGCAAATTTGCAGCTGGTGTCAGCCAGCTCCTACTCATCCTCTAAAGCCCTACTTTCCCATGCAACTTGTCTCACCTTCCTCCAGCCTTTCCTTGTGGCACTACCACTAGCTCTTTGTGACTGCCTTTCTGCTGGAACTGGACCATAGTGTACGTGACAAGAAAGCACACTGTGCAGAGCAAAGTACCTTCTCCAAGAGATGTTTTGTTTTTAAGATTTATTTATTTATTTTACGTATGCGTGCGCTATCTACATGTAGAGCTGCACGCCAGAAGAGGGCACCAGATCTCATCATTGAACTCAGGACCTCTGGAAAAGCAGACAGTGCTCTTAACCACTGAGCCATCACTTCAGCCCAAGTGATGGTTCTTGATGGAGGTAAAGGAAATTAACAAGGAAGATGAAGGGTCCCTCCCTTTTTCTTCTTTTTATTCCTCTTCCTTTTACAGTGCTAGAGGTGGAACCCAAATGTGATAGTCCATTTTCTGTCTGGGGAGGGCTCAGAGGTCATCAGATAAACAGGCGGTGCTTGGACCCCCTCTCCCCTAGCTGTCAGCTGGCGCCCAGGTGCTTCAGAACTCTGAAAGTTAGAGAGTTACAGGCAGCCTGCTTCATGACTCAATTCTCCAACAGAAAGGGGGCAGTCTCAAGCCCCCACTTATTCATTAAATAAGGCTGTATCCTGAGCCAGTTGGATGGGGATTTGGAGAGAAGGCAAGTCTAAAAAGGGGGCAAGAATTTCTGATAATTTAGGGGACTTTATAAACCCCTGTTTTGCCAGCCCGTGGTGGTTCGTGCCTTTAATCCTCGTACAGAGGACCTAGAGTCAGACAGATCTCTGTGAGTTCAAGGCCAGCCTAGTCTGCAGAGCTAGTTCCAGGACAGCCAGGGCTACTCAGAGAAACCCTGTCTCAAAAACAACAACAAAAAAGTAAACAACAACAAAACAAACAAAACCACTTTTTTTTTTTTTTTTTTTGTCAAAGCAAGAGGCTGTTTTGCCTTTTTTCTAGGTTGATGTCTTGTTTGCAGAATGGTACATTAAAAACTGCTTTTTTTTTTTTTTTACTAGTCTCTTGAATTTATTTTATTTCCCACACTGCCTTCCTTCCTCTTTCTTTCTCAGATAAAAGGTAATTGTTTCCCTAAAGGTTTCCCCCAGACATATCTATCTTACAATGTAACTAAAGACAAAATTCAAACCAGTGTATATTAAATAAGTAAATAAATTAAAAATACACCTCATAGGGAAGGAGGATCTTGCTGAAGCATCTGAGAGTCCAGCAGTACATGCTCTTAGGCAACCTCTGTCAAAGGGTCCTTCAACCCCCTAAAGAGTTGAGACCAACCGGTTGAGAACCGCCGCTTCCTCTCATCAGCCTCAAGTACGTGAAATAGTTCAAGGGGTTTTTGTTGTTTTTCTCTCTTTTCCCCCTTAGTGTTTAGAGTAAGTAGCCAGGACTGTCCTGTGTCAGGCAGAGCTCCGAGACTGAGGCGTGGCTCCACAGACGGCACTCAGGGCTAACAGCTGCCGCAACTCCAGCAAGGGGAGGAAGGGAGTCTGTTTCAGAGTTAGCCGTCCTGGCTGGGGGCGGTATGAAGGCCTTCCAGAGTGTTTAGTTCCCATTACACTGTATTGAGATGTGCCCGCTGCAAACCACCTGCGTCCTACTGCGTTCCGCTGGGCGGGTCTCCCTGGCTATGGAGCGGCCTCACATGCCCTCGGGAGAGGGCTGGAGACACACTTGAGGAAAGCTGGGCTATTTTTAGAGAAGTTACGCGGGACGATGTCTGCTGTTCTTACTTGAGGCCACTGTGCAAAGCTCAGCTTTGAAGCTTGACGCCATATAGAGAGTCCGCAGTCTCTGTGACAGATACCTCCCTGAGAAAACCCCTCTAAAAGCTTTCTTGCTTCCTGCTCGTCCAGTTTTCTCCAGGATGGCCAGTTTGCGGTTGTTCTGTTTGGTTTGGTTTTTCTCCCCAGGCTTTCATCTTCAGATTCCTTGTAGTGTCTCCTGTTCCATTGTGTACTGATCTAGACTCTCCTCATCTTCATTTTCTGGGCAGCTGCTCTTCTGGCACGAGGCTGAAGTCTCCATATCGGATGCTAAGGGAAGGTGTAGAGTTTGCACAGGGTAGAACCAAACGTCTAGGCTGCCAACCAGGTGAGGGCCAGCCTCTCCACTGACAGCACTCCCCTGACACCTCTGAGACCCCACTGAGCTGGATGAGGTTGGCACAGCTTGCTTCCGTGGAAGGAAGGAGAGGCACTATCCAAGCCACCAACTGAGGTGCGGGGTGAAGGAGATGGGTGTGAGCTGAGCCGTCCTCCCTCCCACACTGAGTTCATTTAGACTCATGTTACAGAAGTCTCTAGTCAATTATTCATATTTACTTTTGTGTTTTCCCACTAGTATGGACAGGGGGTTATTTACTTGAGCAAGGGCAACTTATTAGTGGCTACACTACCAAGGAGTGGGGGACCCCCCCCCCCAGCAACTTCTTATAGCTCCCTGTGGATGAAGTGGATCTTTGTGAGCCCCTCCCCGCTTCAGAGACCGAATGCTGATGAAGCCAGTCTTTCTTTCTTTTCCTTCTTTCTTTCTTTCTTTCTTTCTTTCTTTCTTTCTTTCTTTCTTTCTTTCTTTCTTTCTTTCTTTCTTTTTCTTACTTTTTTTTTTTTTTTTTCCAGAGAAAGGCTCACTATGCAGTCTTGGCTGGTCGGGTAATCACTATATAGATCAGACTGGCCTCAAACTCAAAGGCATAACTGCCTCTGCCCCCTTAGGGTTAAAGGCATGCGCCATCACACTTGGCCATGGGCCCAGTCTTGAGCAGGTAGCCACAGCTGCTGTGGGTCTAATGCTCTGTCATGTCCAGGAGAGAGCCATTTCACAGCACTCCTCCCATCTTCCAGCTTTTGCATTCTTTCTATCCTCTCTTCCATGATGTTCTCCGAGCCTTGCTTGCAGGGTCAGGGTGCTGACAGGGACGTTTTATTTAGAGCTGAGCACTCAGCAAACCTTTCACATCTGAACACAGTGTACTATCTCTATAAAAATGGAAAAAAATAAAACAATGTTTCCGGGTCAACATGCTGTTAATTTCTATACAGTGGAGCACTGGCTGCTTTTGCAGGGGACCAGAGTTCAATTCCCAGCACCCACATAGCGGCTCCCAACTTTCTACAATTCCAGTTCCAGGTGATCCAACTCCTTCTTCAGGCCTGCGCCAGCACGGCATGCACATTACACACAGCCATAAATGCAGGCCAAAAACACCATATCATAAAAATAAATAACAAAATTACTTTTTGCAAAAGACTGCCTTGGGATATGGGGGGCCGAAACTTAGGAAGTAAGGACCACCACCCTCAGACTATCGGCCAAGTGCAGGATGCCAGATACACTCTGCCTCGTAGTCTCGGAAACCTAAGACCCGGACCACTAAGGAGGCGGGATCTTCCGGCCCCACGCTGAGCGGAACCAATTATGACTGGTTAAATTTCCAGCCGGCACATTAGAGGTGACGCACGCGAGGGGGGGTGGCGCGCGCAGGAGTGACGCGACTGCGCGCGTGGGGCGGGGCCGGGCTGGGCCGCGACGCTGGCGGCTGAGGTTTAAGCGCGACTCCAGCCCGTGTCCCCGCCACCATGAGTACCAAGCAGGTCACCTGCAGGTGAGTGCGCGGGCCCTGGGGCGCTGCCGGACGGCCGGAAGGAGGTAAGGGGCCGACCCGGGCCGTGGCGGGCGGTGGACAGCGAGGAGAACACACACGCAGGAGCCCGAAGGCCGCGGAGAGGCTGGAGTGGCAAGAGCAGCTGAAGCCGCGGCTTGCAGAGAGTGACCGAGGGGGCATTTCGGGAATCGCGGACAGGTCGCGTTCCTTTTCCGGCAACACCACTGAGCGGGAAACCAAGACCACGGAGAGGTTAAAGCGCCACCCATTCAGGAGCAGAAAGACGGCATTAAGGGATGGCTTGTTAGACGAAATAAAACCAGAAAGCTAGTCGATGACTAGCTACTACTATTTTGAAGTAAAATAGTTGAGCTTAGTGGCAACGTCGTAACTCGTTAGCAAGCTTGTGACTGTCCTTGGGGTCTAGTCTTGTGGAGTTGCAACCTTGAGAAGTGCAGCTTGTGGGTATCCCGAATGTGGAAATCTAAATTTCTAAATGGTTCAAAATCCAAAACTCTGAACCCGGCGGTGGTGGCGCACGCCTTTAATCCCAGCTCTGGGGAGGCAGAGGCCGGTGGGTCTCTGTGCGTTGGAAATTAGCGTGGTCTACAGAGGGAGTTCCAGGACAGCCAGGACTACACAGAGAAACTCTGTCTTGAAAAAAACAAAACAAACTTTTTTAGTGCTGGCATTGTGGTACAAGTGGAAAATTCCACACCACGAAGTTTTTTTTACTAGTATTATTAAAATACAAAATTATTGGAAATATGTAATTTTGTTAGGGTATGTGTATAAGCATATATATGTAATGATGACGTCTATGTTTAGACTTTTCTGCCATCCCCCAGACAGTATGTACATGAAAATACTTTAAAATACAGAAAATTAAAGACACTCCCGAGCCCAAGAGTTTTGGATAGAGGCAACTCAGCTTATACAGATTTTAGTTAGTTTCAGTAAATTACGAAATTGAGATGTAGTTTGGTTGTGTGATAAACATTCTAGTTAATTACCTTGTTTCTTCTCATCAGTGTGGATGCTTAGACCTGGCATCTTTATGAAGAGTTCTGTTCAAATTAGACATTAAAGGTACCACCTAGTACCCAGGGCCTAGGTGGTTTGTGTTATGTAGTTATCAGAACATTGCAGTTAGTGCATGTGTATTAGCTAGTTCTATGTTAACTTGACACAAGCCAGAGTCATTTGGGAAGAGGGAACCGAAGATTAGAAAGTGCTTCTACCAGAATCACCTTTTTTCTTGATTGATAATTGGTGTGGGAGAGCCCACCTCACTGTGGGTGGTGCCACTCCGGTGTAGTGGTCCTGGATGCTATAAGAAAGGCTGAGCAAGCCATGAGGAGCAAGCCAGTCAGCAGTATTCCTCCATGGCCTCTGCATTAGCTGCCTCCTAGAGTCCTGCACTGATTTCCCTTAGTGATAAACTGCTACCTGGAAGTATAAGTTCTCTTCCCAAAGTTGCTTTTGGTCATGGTGATTTACCACTGGAATAGAAACCCTAAGACAGCCTGTCACAGTACTTGCAGATCATTGGTACCTTTGTTGAGGGTGAATGTGTGGATATTTACTCCCTTTCCTTTGCAGGAGGAAATGTTCCTATCATAGCGTCCTTTAAAGCAGATTCAATCTACTTCGAAAATAACCCCTAGAGCTGGGCATGGTGAGCCTGCTTGTGATCCCAGCACTCAGGGAGGCAGAGGCAGGTAGATCTCTGTGAGTTTGAGGCCAGCCTAGTCTACAAAGCAAATCCAAGACAGCCAGGGCTACACTGAGAAACCCTGTCTCAAAAAAGGCAGGGGAATAACCTCTAAAACTGCCTGCTCATAGTTTTGTTGTTTATTTGAGACAGGATCTCACTGAATGGATCATCTATCCTGGAACTCACTATATAGAACAGGCTGGCCTTGAACGCAGATCTGCCTACCTCTGCCCCTCATGCTAGGATCAAAGGCATATCCCACCACACCTGGCTGCCTTATGGTTTAATTATACTACTTATAGGCTTATTGTGTGTCAACAAAACCTTTATGTAATGCTTAAGTCCAGTCATCTAGTCATTTTGATTCTTTTTTCCCTTTTGTATCTGGAGATAACCTGACCTGAAAGTTTTAGTTCTGTCTCCTGGATAAGAGAGTCCTAAGAGTTGTTGCTGGTAGGAATTGGAGTGCTGGGAAAGGGTGGCTTCTGTTGAAGGACTCACTGGTGTTTGTGGTCTTCTTTCTGCAGCCCTGTCAAATCATACGTTATGAAGAGGTATGATGGGCTATACCTGCAGAAAGCTGCTTAATGAAGGAAGGGTTTATTTTGACTCCCTAGTTTGAAGGTACAGTCCTTGGTGGAAGGGAAGTCATGGTGGCAGGAGCTTGACAGAGCTGATCACAGCTTGCCCAGGAAGCAATGAATGTTGGTGCTCAGCCCACTCCTTCCTTTTTTTCAGTCTTGGGCCCCAGGCTAGGGAATGATACCCCAAATTCAGGCTGGGTCTTCCCACCTCAGTTGGCCTAATCTAGATAATCCCTCACAGACCAGAGACTTGTCTCTTCAGTGATTTGCAGTCAGTGACAATCATCACAGTCTGCAGCCTCTGCCATCTGTCAGCTTTATGGACATCTTCCACAGTGAGACAACCTTGGTATTGTCAGGCCTTCTCTGAGATTAGTTGCAGAGTGGCGCGGGTGTGACACCAGCCCTGAGTCTCATACCCTGTGCTCAATTGAAGGTTGTTTCAGAGCGTTGCTGTTGCTGTTGCTGTTGTTGTTTTTCGAACTCACACAGATCCACCTGCCTTTGCCTCCCCAGGGCCTCGATTAAAGGCCTGCACCACCACCTCCCAGCTTGTTTCAAAGCTTTTAATTATGGTCCTGATCTCACAAAAATTTATGGAAAGGAAATTTCCTTGTAAAAGGGTATGAAGAATGGGACTGGAGAATTATGAGCACGGACTACTCTTGCAGAGGAATCATGTTCAGTCCACAGGATCAGTGTAGTGGCTCACAGACATCTGTAACTCCAGTTCCAGGGCTCTGACACTCTCTTCTGGCTCTGCAAGAATCACTCATACACACAGTGCACAGACTCAAATGCAAGCGATACACATACTTTCTTTTCTTTTTACAGTTTTTTTTTTTTTTTTTAGTTTTTTACTTTTTCGAGACAGGGTTTCTCTGTGTAGCCTTGGCCTTGGCTGTCGGTCCTGGATCTCTCTTTATAGACCAGGCTGTCCTCAAACTCAGAAATCCTCCTGCCTCTGCCTCTGCCTCCGCCTCCGCCTCCGCCTCCGCCTCCGCCTCCGCCTCCGCCTC